CTCTCTCTCCCTGTACCTTTCTGCAGGTTGCCCTGGCCTTGGAGCTCTACGTCTCTGATGAGCAGTCACCAGCCACATCGACCTGATCAGTGTTTGATTGTTGTGTCTTGTTGCTTTTCTTCTTTTGTCTCTCCTCTATCCACTCACCCCAACCGGTCGAGGCAGAAGGCCGCCCACCAAGAGCCGGGGTCTGTCGGAGGTTTCTTCCGTTAAAGGGAGTTTTTCCTCCCCACTGTCGCCAAGTGCTTGATCAAGGGGGATTTGTTGGGTTTTCCCTATGTAATAATATTGATAACAGTAAGGTTTAGACCTTACTTTGTAAAGTGTCATGAGATGACTTTTGTTGTGATTTGGTGCTATACAAATAAAATTTGATTTGATTTGATTTGATTTGATTTGATTTGGAAAGTGAAGTGAAAACTTAATTAGCATTCATAAAAATGACACATTCAAAAGCAAGCAAATTATACACATTTAATCATGATGGTTCCAACAATGATCTATTTATTACAACTACTTACAGCCCAGGAAGGATGGAAAACACTGCCCGACCTTAGCTCTGATACATAACATATATACAAATACATTATTATTTACATACACCTAAATGTGCATCGATATGTATAGTTTCCTTTTAATATATATGATATTTTTGTGTAAAATAGGGTACATATATACAGTGTAGTGCTATTATAAATGTTATAGCTATACACTACCAACATTTGATGAGCATGAAAATGGTGTGAATCATCTGCTGTGGCCTTCACAGTCACCAGATCTCAACCCAGCTGAATACCTATGGGAGATTTTGGTCCAACGTGTTAGACAGCATCTGCACCACCATCATCAAAACACCATCTGAGGGAATATCTTTTGGAAGAATGGTGTTTGTGCCTCCAGTAGAGTTGAGACACTTGGAAAATCAGTCCCAAGGTGCATGAACCTGATCTGATGGCACATGGACATCTTGTCATCTGTTCATACAGCCATGATTGACTGACTAGTGTGACAATCTGTGGAAATGTAATTACTGGCAGGGTGGATGAAACAGCGCATTAAGGTTCAAAGTGTGGGGGCTAATGGATTTATAAAGCCCTGAACACACGCTGAGTAAAACATCAGATCAAAGTATCAAATCCACCTTGTTCCAATAACTGACAACCACTTGGCTCTAATAGCTGAACTGAAAATGACTTTTATTCATTATATAAACACATTATATGAAAAGATGTGTACAATAAACATCTTAGAGAGAGCAATTTAGCTTTGTTCTAGTCAATATCCAGTCATTGTTACTAGTTTATTCCTTGTTTTGTTTTTAATGCCAGATTTCTGTCTGTCACTCATTTCTTCATTTTGGACTTTCCTGTCATATGTGAACATTCAAGATGCACAGTAACATAGTTTGGTATCTAATATCTATTGTCCAAGTGCTGCAGCTTGGCCTCATCCACTCATGTCTGTTGCTTGAAATGCTTGTGACCTTGCAATTTAATCTTATCTGACCCTTGCGCTCATTGTAAGTCACTCCTGATAAGAGTGTCTGCTAAATGCCAAAATGCGATGTCTCCCTTTCCCGAAATGTAATTTTTGTGTCCTTTTGATAGGCCAAACCACACATGGTGGTGTTTGTCTGTCGCTATGAGCTGGGTCACTGCTGGATGCTGTGCAGGCCAAATCATAATAGAAATGCTGAAAAAGTGAGCTGAAATTTATAATCAAAAGAGAGAGAGAGTTAGATTAAGTGAACACTATTACTTACAGAGACTCTGTGAAGAAGCTCCATCCAAATCAACTGCAGGATGTCTTTTACACAATACAAGTTCAATTTTCTGACTGAGCAGGCAAGTTGTTTGTGCCTATGCTCCTGCAATATGTATTTGTACAATGACTGTATGCTGCACAAAAAAGGCAGAAACTCCTTCTGCGTTTAAAATCTCCCATATTCCGAGTACAGAGTAGGATTTATATCTTCTTAACAGTCGTTCACTGAAGCTTACCATCTCAATTTCTAATTACTGCTCTCCACTATTGGCTGACCAAAACTGAGGCTGTAACGGCCGCATTGCTTTGCACATGCATTGTCTGATGAACTTTAATTAAAGTTAAAGGATCATTGGCCAAAATATGGCATGAACTTGCTTTTGACAGACCCTTGGTTGAACGTTTTCATTAGCCTATACTATACAATGCATGCGAGCAGAAACCAATAATGAACTGTCAAAATGCTTCGTGACAAAGTTAACTAGATGTTTTTTGTTGTAAAGGAATGTGAAGAAATCCCCCCTTTACCCTCAAAATGGAACCACACAGTAGCACACGCTTTAAATTTCCTCATCTCCCAGTGCTCCTCTCCCTGTCCATCAGTCATCCCACTTCTTCCCTGTCTGCTTTGCTTTTCACCTTATTAGGAATCCCATTGATTTTCAAGGCAAGACCAGGCTACATGTCATGTAGGCCGGCCTTGCAAAGAAAACCACTGGGATCTATTAAAGGCTTCCCTTTCTTGCCTCTGACTTCAACGCACTTTTAAACAACTGTGCCATCCTTTAGTCAGAAGCACATTAAAGAGCAACACATAAAGGAGTCGACTTTTATCTGTCAGTCTGAACAATCGTGAAGTTCACGCTACACTGAAATGAGCTGACTTTGAGTCCAAGAAGGAAGAAGTTTTGGAGGAGAGTGGGAAGACTGGTTGATAACTAATATATGAAGTTTCATACACATATTTATTACACATTATACAAAATTATTTAAAAAAACTCTTCCCTGTTTCACTATCACACTCCTATCTGAAAGAGAATTATCCTCACTTTCCCCCAGAAACAGCTTTAAATCTGCTCAAAGACAAATGATTTTAGAGGCATAATTTAAGAACATAACTAATTGATTTCATCAATATGGAGCAGTTAACTAAGACCATGGTAAATCCATGTTATGCTGTTTATTGCACATGACGTGAATAATGCAAGATTACATGCTTTGCTATCCTGTGATAAATAGCTGTGAATCTACAAATCTGCAAACACATTTGATCTTACTGTCCGGTGATATGCATGGTTCTGCATTATCCATGAGACTGACAAAGATGATTACAACTGTGTGGATGTGCTAAAAACTGGGGACACTATTTCATGTGCTTCCCAGAACATTCTCAAAGCTGATGTTACTGTTGCTGACTGAAATGAATAAAGACAATGAAATAAAGACAACATCTTTTCTTTATAGCCTGGCATCATGAGTCAGCCTTGAGTAAATCTGGCAAAGTGTATTATTTGACAGATGATCACATCTGCATCACAGTTATTAGCAAGAGCACGATTGTCAGGTGTCTCATCAACACATTTCACTAGCAAAGCTCAAGGTGCAAAAACACCAGAACACAAACACCCTGTCTAATTACTAATCTAACATGCAGCTTGATTTGACCTCCTTTAATAAGCACATCAATTTAATTGGCAAATTGTTGGTTGTTATCACAATTACAAATGTATCTTAACCCAAATGTCATAACACTCAAGTCTTTATTAGTGTTATTTTTAGGATTACACGTCCAACTATCATGTACAATTAAGGCTAGGGCATAGCAAGGCACACAGTCTGAATTTATATTGGATAAATAAAAGCTTCATCCTTAGACCAAATAAGCTGAGCTGAGACCTCGTGTTTGCTTTGCAGTGACAGGTTTCCTTTCAAAAGTGACACATCCTCAGACTGTGAATGAGATCAAGGCTACCTACAGTATAAAGAAGTACTTTATATGCTGCAGGCTGAACTTGATTATGTTGCCCTGTTGAACACATTATGCTCGAGGAAAGACTGTAGAACATCTGTCTCTGTGGCATTAAGTCCCTCCTGTGACCTTCATGTCACTTATCAGTTACATACTCATGTAAGGAGAATGTGATTCTTATGCTAAAGTAGCTACATTCACCTAAAACATTAAAACATTTTCTTTGCCATATTAGAATATATGACTCCTGTTCCAAATTATATTAGCACTTACATTTTAGCCTGCACTGCACTTGTTAAAAATATCATACTGATGAAGATATCTGGTCAGTGTGCTTAATTTTTAATGAAGAAATCTTAAGGAAGTCAAATTTGCCAACTAGAAATTCTCTTCTGAGAATATGCCGCCTGTTTTTTGAGGTTATAGACAGTAGACTAATTAAAAATAAAATTTGTGAAACAGTTTAGAGCACGTTGTTTAAATCCAGTCAGTCATACTGCTGATGTAATCAGCCCTTTCAGCACTTTCATCCTTAAGGAATGAAGAACTGTTCTGTGAACCTTTTCAGTTTATTATCTGGGTGCTTTGTGCCAGTGCCTGACCTTGGAGGGTTGTGGGTCAGAATAAGAGATGATGCTCTCCGACTTTACACACACTTCACTTTCTGTGCTCACTGCATTTCTTTGCTTGATGGTGGAAAACCTCAGAAAACTTCTGCACTAGAGACGGTGAGCAGTGTCAACATTAAACGCACACCACAGTGAACTCATCACGCAGGCCTTAAGAGTCAAGGGCAATGTGTTAAAATCAGCCCACAGCACTTCCCCAAAATGCAGTGCAGCGGTGTTCTCGCTTGCAGGGAACAATATGAATGGTACTGATCTAGTCTACAACAAGTCTACAACGCCCAAAGGACATTTAAAATACCTGACTTACCTTCAGCAAGCAGGCGCACCGCATGCACAAAAGAGGGCTCCAAGCTGTTTTTCTCGGCCACCAGTTCAGGTAAGTACTTATCTGGATGCATTATTATCACAGCGGACCTCTTCACCGGTCGTGCAGGTGAGACCAGTGCTGAGCGTCGGAATGTAACTGTAAACCTTCCCGCTCCTGCTTTTCGGCACCTTCAGTGTACCAGTCTTGATGAGTACCACAAGCAAAAGCCCTCCGACAAACTAGTCGCTCCAAGTGTCCGAGATGCTTGTGAGAGGGCGGGTTGTGATTCAGAGGTTTGAGCCCATATCTGCCACCGTTGCCTGCTTCCTCTCCACGGCACCCCGCCAGACTCTCACACTCACTGGGTCTGCAGATCGTGCTGCTCCCCGCCCCTCAGCAACATTATTGGCCATATTCTGGGACTGGCGCTGCTGGAAAACAAAGACGATCCGCGCAGAGCGCATACCAATTGGGCAATGCGCTCCGAGGGAATGGATTAAAAGAAAAAAAAAGTTGAGGCTGCACTGTCGGGGCTGGCGTTGGTCCCTGCAATAATCTCACTCCAAAACTGTAGACTCGGTCGGTTTATTGAAAGTTTTGTGCAGCTTATGTTACAAATACTCCTTTATTATAAGTAAGGCAGACATTCTAAAATACATTTGAGAATACAGTGCAATGACAATATGTTGTGTGGCTTTAGTAATTTAAAACAACAAAAAACCTACGCACATTATAAAGATACCGCACTTGATTATTAGTCAAGGGGCTGTGAAAGGCTGAAATCAGAGGAGTTTAATGTCCGAGTATGAGGATCGTGAATGCCATATGAGATAATACCTTATCAACGTAAAACACTTCTTACCCAGTTCAAAGTTCACCAGAGTAACAGTGTCGCTGTCCATGGTGCTAAACAAATCTCTGGATGGCGTTGCTTATGTGGACGATGAACGTTTCTCATTCCAGTTCATATTAAAACGTACCACTACCACAAAGAACATAAATTCGTTTATTTCCCCCACTTGGTTCTCTACAATCCTCCCTCCCCCGGCAAACTCACACGTTATAAGACCTCATCCATTTCAACATCTGAGTAAATCACTGTTTGGCATCTTACTGAAAAGCTCTGCAAAGTTATGCCAAACTAGTAGGAACTGAATTTTATGGCTTATGGATATTGATACTATAAGCAATATAAGTACTCTAATTTCTTGTTCCCTGTTAACTTTACTTGTACTTTACTTTCGGATGTATAAAAATTTCAGAATAGCCCTCATTTGTTTTCTCACTCTGGCTTAATGAACTTATCCCGTCCCAATATACGCTCCTTTTGTTTCAATCTCAATAAAAAAAGCTTAGGAAAAAGAATTTTATTTCAAATGTGACATATTTGCTTTGTTTTGTGCAGTAAAGTAAATATACATAGCCTGATGCTTTTTGATGCAGTAAGACATTTTACAGCATATATTTGTCAGTTAGTAAAAAAAAGCGCATATCAGCAATCTCAGCAAGAGCCTAAATACTGTGATTGTTTAACCTCTTGTCATCTAAGTTATGTGGCCTGGCTGTGGCTCAGGGAGGCCAAGTGAAAAAGAGCCTTTGCTGCTTGTAAAGTGAATTACATGCCACAACCCTAAAGAATTTATAATGTGAATGCTTTAGGTCCTTACTGAGCAATGTACTGTCAGTAATGTAAGTACTGCTACTCCACTACACATTAAAAACTAAATATATTAATTCAATCAAGACAGTTATAGTTAATAATTAGGCTTCAAAGGCCAGAATGTGACTTTGTTTTAACTGCTAGTAAAGACACTGTTTTATTAATCCATGATTTTCTCTGTTCATCTGTATTTAGAACAGTATAACTCATGTTATTTCACATTGCAGCTGTTGCTAAGGGCTATTTCTGCTCATTTCTTCAATCGTGGGGCTATTACTGATCTTAACCACTTACTACTTGTATTAAAAAAAAAAAAAGTGATTAATTTCTCTGTCAAAAATGAGATAGAGCTTTATTTTTGCGCTTGATAGTCTAAAAGAAGTGACTAGGCCCATATTGGCCATGCATTTTTTGTTTGCTTGCCAGACCTTTATTGATGAAAGAAAGAAAGAAAGAAAGAACTTTATTGATGATTATAATCCTGGGTCTGCTATAATGGTTGCTTATGAAAATGATGAATATAGCCATCAATGTGTTTTACTGTTGATATTAAATTAAAGCAGGAAACCTAGAGAAAAATGAAACACCAAATTTGCTCCTTCAGGGTGACACTAAAGGAAAGAGAAAACAATATGCTTGGGGCAAATATTTAGCACATTATGCTTTTCAGTGCAGAGAGAGGACTTTGATCAGGCTGTTGTAAGTTACCTGGGACAACGACTACTGTGAATGACCCATATTTGAACTTAGTCTCTATCAATGGTAAAACGTTTCATTTTCAACTAGGATTTAACAGACTCTTACTCCCCTCTAGTGGTCAAAGTTCTGCATTACAGATTTCACATCTATGTGACCCAGATAAACCTCTCAAGAGCTTAATTTCTTTTTGAGATATCCTATAAATAAAAATAAAATAGTGGAGATGCAAGTAAAAGTCTTCTTTTATTACCAGAGGACACACAGTATAGATACCAGCTTTCATCAGAATGAATTTGACAGTTCTAGGTGAAAGGTTATCCAATCAGAAGCGTTGTCCCACCCCCAAGTCCAATTCCATTCCCCCTCCACCCTCCTCTCTCAAGTCAAAGATCACCCCTCATCACTCCCTCCCCTCCGTGTTCAAAAGTTCACCCCCTCAGGTTCTCATACCCCCTCCCTGCGTGGTGCCCTGGGGGACAGCTGCTCTCTCGCTCCTGATAGATGAATCTAAAAAAATAAAGACCGGGTAATGATGCAGTTTGTAATGTTATATAGTGAATAAAACAAATGGTACATAGAAAGTATAGTAGTGATTTGTATATTAAATAGAGTTGAGCTGATATTTCGTTTCAAATGAGAAGACAA